GAATCACGGGCTTATTTCTGGAGACCTTACTCCTATTTTCGAGGATCTTACTCCTATTTTTGGTTTTACTCTGAGAAAATTACAATGTACAGTCCCTATTTTTGGATTTACCTCCCATGCTCCCAACCTCTTCGCGCCGCCACTGATATAAGGAGATTGTTTTGACTGACTTCGTTTTAATTGCTCATTGATAGAACTTGAGATTTTTAACTTAATTGTTGTGGATTCACTTGCCGGTGTCCATATTAATATCAAGTCCAGTTCTTGTGTCAACCAGGATACGTTTGATGGTGCATTAGTAGATTTATCAAACAGGACACGTACCAGTTTGCAGTTTCTTGGTGTGAAAAAGTGTGCTACTAATGCAGAGAAACGTCCCACAACAAATGACGTATCTTTACTACAGACTTAGTTTAGGTTATGGACAAATTGAGTTGTTCCACTGACTCTAAAGCTTTACCTTAAAAGGAGTGTTTGATATGAATCAGAGGTGGGATCGGTTCGGTTTGAGTTGTTCGTAAATTGGTTCTGTTCGGTTTAAGAAAGTTTCGGTTCGACTCGATTCGGTTGCAGGAAAACGCGAATCGATCTCATCTCCATTGGTTATAACGGGTGAGTCGAAAGTTTTCGGACAAAACGTTTATTCATTTCTGACCCGCTTCAATGTATTTCAGACGACTTAAAAGCTATGGATTAGGACCAGAATTTGATGCTCTTTCCGAATATGGACTCAGAAATGTTTTATCCAATTTTGCTCCAGAGTAGTGAGAAAATCTTTGACAGGTCTAAAAAATTAGTTTGGACGGAAATCTTTTCCATACATTTTCATATTTTCACTATTGGGATCCGGAACTAAAATTTGGAACGTTTATTAATATATCAGGTGGTCAAGCAAAATCTGTCCTACAAAATTTACTATTTGAGTTAGTTTTTGTCTATCAGCAATAGGGATGCAACGGTAACGGTTGACCGGTTGTCAACCGTTACCGGTCTAACCGGTTTAACGGTTACCGGTTCTGATCGGTTACCGTTACCGGTCTAACCAGTTCTGACCAATTACCGTTACCGGTCCAACCGGTTCTGACCGATTACCGTTATGGATCTAACCGGTTAACTAACTGACTAGAGTGATAACGGGAATAAGAAAACAAAGTAGAAAAGAGAAAAGAAAAGAAAATCGCTATTTGTGTCGCAGCTCTAATAGTCCATCTATTTTCTCTCTTGCTCGTGCTAGATATAATCTATTTTTAAACAAGCATTCACATGTGAGTTCTTAAGCTAGTTTGAGTTACACTGATTGTTCCATGTTAAAAAGTGTTTTTCTTCAACGTTATATTGATTAACAGAGAACTGTGATTAAAGAAACATTTATTTTGTGTTTTGAATTATGTAGCAAATATTCCATTTGTTTTTCAAGTTTATTGCTACCGGCAACGGTAACCGGTAAGGTGCGGTTACCGTTACCGTTGCATCCCTAACCAGCAAGGCATCTTAATTTTCGTTTTTCTTACAGCCTCATTTTTGAAAAATCGACTTTTTCATCAAAACCGTTTTACATAGAAATAAGTAAAGATCCCATCACTATTCTCCAATAAAAGCAGGCACAAAATTTCTGAGCACATATTCAGAAACGACACAAAAATCTGTTTCTAGCCCATAGTTTTAAACTCATATGAAATACTTTCAAGCAGGCCAAAATAAACAAATATTTTGTTCAGAAACTTCGGCCCATTCGTTCCGTTACAACTAATTTTTTAGACCTATCAAAGATTTCCACACTACCCTGGAGCAAAATTGAATAAAACATTTCTGAGTCCATATTCGGAAAGAACATCAAATTCTGGCCCTAACCCATAGTTTTTGACCCGTCTGAAACACTTTCAAGCGGGTCAAAAATGAACAAATATTTTGTCCGGAAACTTTCGACTCACCCGTTATAAGGCGCACTGTAAATTGTTTTTTCGGAGATCAGGTGATTGCCATTTATTTTGTAAATAAGGTTTCCACCAAGTTCTCAGCATTGTTCTTTGTAAGTTATAATGTATTTCTTCTATTCGATTTGAATATTCTATAGCGAAAGTCTTAATGTAAATGACACTTGTATTAACACTGAATGAAAATATTAATCTATATAATCAATTTACTGAATATTAGCCTCAATTTGATAATAGATAACAGATTAGAGATGAGCATCTCGCGAAGCATACTCTGTCAATAAAGGACAGTTGTACTTTTTTTTGTTGTTAGTAAATCAAAGAATTCAAATTTATTGTCATCATTATAATATTTTCATTATGCAATACGTTTAATACTTAATTACTTGTGCTATTTTTTTGTTAAAAACTTGTACTGTTTGTTTCATCATTGTAAAAAAGCTGGAAGATGTAGTTGAATTATTGTTACTAAACGAAGGTCACTACGTATTCACAGCAGAAACTACGTCACTATGTTTCAAGAGAGAAAGAGTGAAAAGTGCAGTCAGCTATTTTTCAACATTTTAAGAGTCACCATGCACTTGGTGAGTAAGTGGTCAGAAATTTGAGTGGTGTCCTCTAGAAAAAACTAAAGAAAATTAAAATATGGAAGTAATATCTGTTCTATTTTCTAACCGTATGCTGTTTTTAGATTTTGCTCGTGCATACTATTAACTGCACTGTATATTGTGCTCTTGTGTTTTTAGATTATGACGTCGTCGAATTTTCTTTTAAATAAACCTGCAAAGTTTCTTTTTGATATTCCGTCAATTGAAATTGCTTCAACTCTTCGTAAACTAGATCTACGTATTCATAGAAATGCTGCCAAGAGGTTGTTTCATATAACTAAACTGGTTAATCGATTTTATAATCTTACCATAAATGAGAATGAAGTGCAATGTCGTCTTGATAACTGGAATTAGCTGGCACCATAGTTCAATGACAACATTACTGGTATGACCGACACTCAAATTACATGTAATATAAAACAATAAATGTTCGAATTTCCAAATAATAATATACGTTCGCTATTGAATTGTTATCTGCCGAAGAAAACAATTTGCTGCGATCAACTTTTATCAGCACCAAGACCATTTCAAGATATACGTATTTTTCATTTGAGCGAATCGTCGTCAAGCAGTACATTGCATTGTAGGAAGTGTGGGGTTTGCAATATTAAGTACTATTATAGCTATTATGAAAATGAAGATGGAGATAAATTTTGTATTATAAACAGTGATTCCACAATTATTTGTTTTTTCTGGAGTATTTGCTTACTGCATGAAACTCTGCCATTATCCTGATAATGATATACTGTCAAACACTGTGGCTTTTCCAATTATACAAATGCATATAATACGTATTGTGAAGTGGCTCCAATAGTGAATCATAAGTTAATGGACCGATTTCATGTAGAGAGAACACGCTTTTTATGGAGATTGTGAAAATTCTTTTGTAAGGATGGGAAGACTAATATCTCACTTGAAAAAGATTTTGATAAAGAAATTTTATCGTTACAAGGAGATATCTTGATCTTTTAATCAAACGACGGAGTTCAAAATGTCATCAATCATACTGCAACGAAGATTGTTGTAAATTGCTACTGCCTCATGGACGTCAAAAAACAAACCAGATGAGTTTGTGCCTACAAAAATGGTACCATTCCTAGCGAAGAGACAAGAGCTCTCAAAGTTGGTTATTCACATTTATCGGACTACAAGAATACATATTGTTTGGAGTATATCGGCTCTAAGCCTCCATCAGAACCATCGAAAGAAAGAAAGTCATACAATCTACGAAATCAAATACGACAGTTAACATGTCGAATGTTCAAATCTGAGAATCAAAACATTCAGTCGTACAGAAGTATTATTGTCATAGCAGCGGTTTACAATTGTGGTTAGATCTGTGCTGTTGATGAGCGCGATGGCTCGGAATCCCTTAGTCAAGTTTATCATTTTCTGGCGAATATTGTTAAAAGATGTGAAGTGTTACCAACCGTTATCACGTAGGATGATGTACATCATTTGGTTAAATTTATTCGTAACTCTACTAATAGGAAGCAAATGACTGTAACTGAAGCTGGGAAAAAGCCTGATGAGCTGGATTATGTTGTCAATAAAATGCATTTTAAAAATCACGTAGATCCCACATGTCGACGTTTCTTGAACCCCACATGAACATCCAATCGCAAAAGACGTTAATACTGGAATTTGTGAATCGATATTTTACCTGACTGAAAAGTAAATATTTCTCTTAATAACTTCGGCAAACACAAGATATTCTAATATTTTTTGTTATTTTTCCAACAGCATGAAAACACAGGGCTGGACGACTCTAACTCGAAAGTTGGAGTTAACTTCGGAGTTGGGTGATTTTTAAGTGGAGGTGAAGTTCGCTTCAGAAGAGTTGCAGTTGGAATTTTTGAGAACACAGTTGTCTTTTATTCATTCTTATTCTCAACTGCGTGTAATTGCTTTTGTTACGCTTTCTTTTCTTCAAAAAAGAGTGACGCATACATAGGAAAGTAGTCAGTACGGTTCTTTTTTTGAGATGTGAATATACGACAGAATTTATATCACTCTCATGTGTCAGAGATCAGTGTGCGTTTCTCTTTCAACGCATTTCGACCTCGTCTGCTCGTGAGAATTTTGCCTGCTGGCACTGAATGTGCAGGCTTGTTAGCAGCCTCTGCCGTAAGCTCATGTAATACTGGGCGGACCTGTGCGAAAGTACCCTGGTGAATGTTTTTTTAAATTCTTTTAATAAAAGTATAAAAATGGTGTTTTGTTTCAACAACAGTTTTCCAATGATAAAGTCTTCACAAGAAGCCCGCATCGCCGATTGAGATCAATATCAAGCCTCACATCGTCGTCTTTGATAGACGATCCTGAGAACAGTTCTTCCCAGCTTTTGCTTGATAAAAACATTGAATTCACCAATAATCATGACAAGAAAAAGTTTCTTTGAAGACAGTATCCAATTTCAATTGTTTTATGACCGAAATATTCAGAATTCGTTCCAAACATGGAAAGCAGTGCTCAAAGGTAAACTGCTGACCCGACTTGTATTTTATTGCAAATAAAACAGAAAAAAGTGTAGAGTATCTCGAAAAATACTGGTCTAATACTGTTGTGTGAGAATTATTGAAGAAAAAGTTCACTTTATTGATTGCTATTCTTTAAGCTTCTCAAATTGAAAGATAAGCATAGGTTTTATTTGTTTACTGCAGAATCAAAAGCAGATAGAAACGTTATGGCCGGTATCGAAGGAATACCATTTAAGGCCGCGTAGCCATACACCAACTAATGATGCTACAACGAATGATAGTGTTTATTCCGATGACGTTCAAACGTCATTTAATGAATTAAGTTCATCGATATTAGAACGTTTAAATGAAAATTACATACTATCATTTGAAGAGGTAAAAGAAATGTACCTGACAATAATAAATAAAAGAAACCATAAATTAACCGATCATATGATACGAACAACAACAATAAAGAATCAATTGAAATCAAGCTTAGGGGATAAAATATCGTTTATTGTAGAAACAAAACGAAATGGAACGTA